CAGGATGTTGATAGTGGGGGATTCAGTGATGGCAATGCCATTAACTGACAAGGGACGGTAGTTAGATTGTCTTTTGTTGGAGATAGCCATTGCTTGGCATTTGTGTGGCATGAATGTTATTTGTCATTATCAGCCCAAGCCTGGATATTGTCCAGATCTTGTTGCATGTGAACATGGACTGCTTCAGTGTCTGAGGAGGCGTGAATGGTGCTGAACATTGTGCAATCATCGGCAATCACCCCCACTTCTGACCTTACCATGGAGGGAAAGTCATTGATGAAGCAGCTGCAGATGGAACATGTACAGAGATGTCCTGGAGCTGTGATAACTAATGTTCAACACCCATAACCATCTTCCTATGTGGCATGAGTTTGTTTCCTGATTCCCATTGATTCCAGCAAACCCTCCATTTGCTAGGGCTCCTTAATGATACGCTCGGTCAAATATGGTCTTTTGCTTCTTGCTTAGTGTGTCAGAAGACAATTGTTTCATAGATTGTATTTTTCTTGGTCATGAAAGAGGTTGTTTCTGCATTTTTTGATGAGTTATAGACATTTTATTTTAGATCTTAGTGTCTCAAAGATATCTTCCAATTCTTCAATGCAGCAGTACCCTTTCCGGTCATACAGCACAGAAACAAGCCCTTTGGCCCAACTCGTCCATGCTGACCAGGTTTCCAAAACTGAACTAGGCCCAGTTGCTTGTGTTTGGCCCATATCCCTCTAAACCTTTCCTATCAATGTATCTGTTCAAATATCTTTTAAATGTTACAATGTACTGCTCCTTTCACTTCCTCTGGCAGCTCGTTCCATATATGCACCACTCTTTTTATTTTGTCATTTGTATTGCAAAACTGTTCATCATGCCCTCAAAACCATTCTTGCCAGCATGGGAACATCCGATGGTGCATCAAAAGGTGGTAGATTGGGCATAGACAATGCCATATTCATTAGAAGAGCATTGATGAAACAAATCTGCTTGTTAAATCTGCAGCCCCAAGGGCATCTCAGAATTGCAGCTCAAAATGCTGTCTTGTCTGCTGAAACTAAGAAAAACTCTCTAAAACTATTTATACCTGGGAGGATTGCTTCACATATTACATCAGACGCCTTGTCAATGTGAAGGTCTGGGGATGGCAAAGCCAAAATTAAAACTGCGCACACAAACAATGCATCAGGCACCCTAACATGGTTCTAATACTCACAAACTTTGTTACGTGTGTTATTTTAAAAGGATCGTTGACTGTCTCAGTGTGACAGAACTGAAATAAAACACGCACTTGCACCTTCAGGGCCATTATTGTGAACGTTCTTACTAATTTAGCCCAATGATAATAGAGATTACTAACTTTAATAACATCAGTGCCCAATATGATACACTCAGTGTTCAAAAAAGTTTTCACATTTAAGTAAATAAAATCAAACATTGATTTTCGGCCCAATCACAATTCACGGAACATCTGCCACAGTAAAACAATAACAAATATTTTGTACGGTGGATAATTGATATATTGCTGATGATGACGATGTTCATGATGTTACAACTTTGACATCAATAGTTCCATGCATCAGAAACGAGAGAAATGAAACATTAAGTGGAAGCCCCATCTGCACCTCAAGTGGAAGTATGATGCCATGGCAATAGCTCAAGGAACAGCAAAGGAGTTTCCCTAGTGTTCCAGCTAGTATTTAGCATTCAATCAATATCTGTAAACAAACAGATTTAGTATTCAGCTGTGAATGAATGGTGCTTGTTGTTCATTTTACAAACCCTTGCCAACAAACATTCTGTGAGCACTTAAGCTGTGCAATTTGTGATGATCAGACAGTCAAAGCAGCACAGGGGATCTAAGGCCTGTGTGAACAGGCCAAGTAGTTAAGTATTTCATTAAATAATTAGATCCTTATTGAGCATGCAATGCAAACCGAGAAATGTAAATAACAATGTCCAATTCAATGTCAGATTGTGAACAGGAAATAAGGTAAAGATAGGGAAATGAGATAGGGACATAAAAGGACAAAGGAAGTGTAAAATAAACAAAAATAATGAGCCAGGACTTTCTGAGGAATGTCAATCTAACACAGATTGCCATTTCAGTATATTTTTACATAGGAAAAGAGCTATGCGTTTCTCAGAAGAGATTCTATTCATGTCTCTCACAGAAATGCAGAGCTGTACTCCCATTCTGACAGTTCTTTCATAGTGTTGAAAATTCAGGGAGAAGGCAAATCATGTCCCATTCTCACAACAGTCAGCTGCTGTGTTCTGAAAAGTACAAGTCCTGACAGCTACTATCACAACTGCTGCCAAAGGGTAAATACACAAGGTAAGTGAGATGCTAGGGTGCTGAGAGTTTAGGGAGCTAAATGTGTAAGGTGGAGAAGGTGCAGCTAAGTAAGAGTGTTATTGGGCTGTGGCCAGTGAGGAAAGGCTGGTGTCAGTTCAGGTCCAGTGATGGGGTGGGAGGGGTGCAGTTCGGGCAGGAGGGGTGCAGTGTTTGTTTGGCTCTGGCAGGAAGTGGGGTTGTAGGAGGTAAGAATTGGGTCCCATGGGGATAATGGTGACAAGTCATGATCCTGGGAGGTATAGTTGAGTGTATGTGAGATAAGTTTGAGAGCAGTTTGGTAGTTACTCAGAAGTTAGACAGTGAATATAATACAATATATTTAATAGTACAATTTAAATGGACACTTTCAGAGGGTTCCAAACCTAATGAAACTGCCCAGTGGATATCTCAATTTCCCAGACAATTCCTTCAAAGTGTGCTCCGATGGGGATTCTGCACAGTTCCCACATGCAACTTTCGTCTATGCCAACAATAATTAAAACCTGAAAGAATACAAAATGCATTTTTAAAAGTAAATGTTCAAGGTCAGAGATGTTATTTGACAGTAATTTAAACTTTTCACATCATTACAAACTAACTTACCCTTGATTGATGAAGCCTCTACTTTTCTGCTGTTGCCCATTTACTGGAGATTGGTGAATATACTTCCTGCTGTGTAGTGGTAGAACACTGAGACTATCTGTGAGGTACCAGTGAAATGAATCCTCTAAAGGGGCCGGGCCATGCCGACAACAATACTGATTTGTGTGTTCAACTGCACACTGAAAGTTGTTGTCTAATTCAGCCCTTAGTAACAATAAGTGTTAATAGTCCTACCATTACATCTATCACAAAGCCTCAGCCAGAATTTGATTATTGTTTGCAGAATGATGATGTGCATAAATTTGGCCCTTTTGACATTATGACAGTGACCACACTTTTTAAAAAAATACATAATTAGGTGCACTTCAATTTGGTTGCCCGAGGGACTTAAAAAGGCACTTCATAAGTCAAATGAACTGAAATCTTGGATAGTAGGAACTGCAGATGCTGGAGAATCCGAGACAACAAGGTGCAGGGCTGGATGAACACAGCAGGCTGAGCCAAGCCTCTCTGCTCCTATGATGCTGCTTGGCCTGCTGTGTTCATCCAGCCCTGCACCTCGTTGTCTTGAACTGAAATCTTCACTGGAAAAGATAATCTAAGGTAGCTTCTGAAATTGAAAGATTCACAAGGATGTTGCCAGGGTTGGAAGGTTTGAGCTATAGGGAGAGACTGAATAGGCTAGGGCTATTTTCCCTGGAGCATTGGAGGCTGAGGGGTGTCCTTATAGAAATTATAAAATCATGAGGAGCATGGGTAGAGTGAATAGTCAAGGTCTTTTTCCCAGGATAGGGGAGCCCTAAACTAGAGGGCATAGGTTTAAGGTAAGAGGAGAAAGATATAAAAGGGAACTAAGGGACAAATTTTTTCAATGCAGTGCGTGTATGGAATGAGCTACCAGAGGAAGTGGTGGAAGCAGGTACAATTAAAAGACATCTGGATGGGTACATGAATAGGAAGGGTTTAGAAAGATATGGACCAAATGCTGGCAAATGGGATTAGATTAATGTAGAATATCTGGTCGACATGGACGAGTTGGACCGAAGGGTCTGTTTCCGTGCTGTATATCTCTTTGACTCTATGCAAGTTACCAAAAGATAATTGCATGGCATCACAGTACAAATCAAGAACTGATCGACTATTTCACATTTTGGCTGAAAATTTGAAACTTAAAGTTAGCTCTACCACGATGATCTATCATTTCAAAAAATAGGGAAACTTTTACAAAGGAACATAAATAAATACCAGGGTTCACTGTTCATGAAGCTTATCACTTTAATTCGAGCCTATCCAAATAAGGGTGAATCTCCTGAAAGTTAATGGGTAATGGAATTTGCATACAAGAGTGATTGAAGATATTGACTCAAATCTTCTGATCAGTTTTGTGATGCCTGTATCTTAAGTTGACCAGACAAAAAGCCTACCCACTTAACTTCCCCTGACTTTTCTGGCCACATTTCCAATGGAGGACCTAACTGAATTGCCTCAGTGCAGAAAGTCTTGAACCACAGCAGTGTCTCACAGCACAACACCTCACTGTTGTCCACACCTCCTATCCATGGCATGCAGTGATATTCTGATAACTGTGCAGTTAAATATCCCAAAGCTTCTCAGATTGCTGGTGAATGAATGTATAAGTAAAAGGATGAATGTGTAAATGGGTTGGGTGGGCAAGTTAAATGGCTAGATTAAGTGAGGTAAGGGGATTATAGAAGTTGAGCTAATTGGAAAAAGTAGCATCTGGGTAGGGTAGTTAGGTCAGGTCTTCCCCAGCTCCTCATGCACACGTTAGGTTGCATGTTCAATTTCTGGCAATCTGGAGATTAGAAAATCTGGGCATTATAATATTAATATTTGACCTCAAATAATCCTCAGCCTAAAGGATAGAAAATAGCCAAAAATCATGTCATTCCATCTCAAATGAAAACAAAAGAATATCATTCCAGCTTTAAGCTTTAATGAACTTACTGGTGACAGGTTTCCTTTACCAGATACTACCAATTTAGTCAAAACATATTTCAACAAATTTTAGCTCAGCTGATCTATGACACTCTATCTTTCTCTTCTGCAGGAAACATAAGCAAACGAGACATTGTGTTCCTTATCGATGGATCAGACTATGTCGGAAATGCAGATTTTCCTTTTGTCCGTGACTTTCTCTCAAGTATCATTGAAAACTTTGACATTGGAAGTGACAGAGTGCAAATCGGTCTGGTACAGTTCAGTAATTATGCAGAAACTGAATTCTATCTGAACACTTATTCTTCTGAAGATGAAATCCTGCATCATGTGGAAGGAATCAGATTGAGAGGTGGAACACCACTAAACATTGGAGCAGCACTGGACTATGTTTATAGAAATCACTTCACCAGATCTTCAGGAAGTAGAAAAGAGGAAGGTGTTCCTCAGTTACTGGTGCTCATCACAGCTGGAAGATCCAGGGATTATATCAGACAATCTGTGGATGCACTGAAGCGAGCTGAAGTAACAATGTTTGCTGTTGGAACCAGGAATGCAGACTCAGCACAACTCAGAGAGATTGCAAGTGAGCCTAGTTTGCTTCTCAGTGTTAATGAATTCCACTCTCTGCCTCATGTACATGAGCAGCTGATGATTTCAATGACAAATCCACCTGAACCACGAGAATCCACAGACCGCCCACGTGTTCCCGTAAACCCAGGTATTTTAATTCATTTACTGCTTTAACTGCAATGTTAATTCAACTATGAAGGATTTTCAAGATTGTGTAATGTACCAAAAATCTTTAATGCTGCTTGCCAGCTTCATAGTGGGCTCAGTAAAAGTAACTAACAAATGTGTCACTGGCTAAGGGTCTAGCAAGTTAAACAACATAATTCAATTGGAGATAATAGGAACTGCCGATGCTGGAGTCTGAGATAACAAGGTGTGGAGCTGGAGGAACACAGCAGGCCAGGCAGTATCAGAGGAGCAGGAAAGCTGACGTTTTGCGTTCAGACCCTTCTTCAGAAGAAGGGTCCCGACCCAAAACGTCAGCTTTCCTGCTCCTTTGATGCTGCCTGGCATAATTTAATTGGGGTTGTTGCTGATACACTAGATGGAATAAGTTGAGAGGTTTTAAGCGTATCAGAGTTGAATTTATCATGGAGTGACGAAAAAAATTGAAATTGTAAGAATGTAGACACTTCTTTACAATGTTTTCCATACTAAGAAACACTAAGTGCTAGACTTTAATGGACTCCTATTGGGTGAGCAGCAGCAAGTAAACGTTGCGCGGACTCCCAACATAATAACTGTTGTAGTCACCACTATTTTGAATTTCTACTTTGAAATGATTTTGCAAAGCCATTTAAATAATTTCATTTTGATTAAGGTTGCCATGTTTCATTTGTTGAGGGATTGTGGAACATCAGAATTCCCAGAACCCAACTTACAATGGTTTCATTTGATTGTCTCAAGACTTTAACTTTGTGACTGATGTGCCTTCTCCCAATGAAGGAGACTGAATATTAGCATATGGACATCCACCACCAGTAATGGAATATCATTGGGTCGTCAACAGAAGTGTTACTGTTTAAGAACAGATGCAAACTCATCAGATCAGCCTTCACTGTGATGACTGATAGACATTGGAATGCAGGTTCATAGTTCCTTGAAAGTGGAGTTGCAGGTAGATGGGTAGCGATGAAGGTGTTTGGAACGCTTGCCTTTATCGGTCAGTTCATTGACTATAGGAGTTGGGAGGTCATGTTGCAGCCACTTTTGGAATACTATATTCAATTCTGGTCGGCCTGCTATAGGAAGGATGTTGTGAATCTTGTAAGGGTTGAAGAATTTGAGCTATAGGAACTGGCTGAATAAGCTGTGGCTATTTTCACTGGAGCGTTGGAGGCTGAGGGGTGAGCTTCTAGAGGTTTATAAAATCATGAGGGGCATGAATAGGGTGCATATCCAAGGTCTTTTCCCCAGATTGGGGGAGTCCAAAACTAGAAGGCATAGGTTTAAGGTAAGAGGGGGAGAGATTTAAAAGGCACCAAAGTGGCAATTTTTCCACACAGAGAGTGGTGCATGTATGGAATGCGCTACCAGAGGAAGCAGTGGAGGCTGGTACAATTACAACATTTAAAAAGCATCTGGATGGGTATATGAAAAAGAAGGGTTAAGAGGGTTATGGACCAAATGATGGCAAATGGGACTGGATTAATTCAGGATATTTGGTCGGCATGGACGAGTTGGACCAAAGGTTCTGATTCCATGTTATACGGCTCTATGATTCTATGTATAGACCTGAAACTTCTCAATATCTCTGGTTGATAAGAGAGTATTGTTCTGTATTGTGGTTTACAAATACTCATCCAGAGGAAGACAGGAAAAAATCTCTTCCAATCAAAGATAACAAGGTGTAGAGCTGGAT